TACCGGAAAATGTTCCCTCACAAGAAGATCATTAGAGGATTGTTGAAGGAATTGGTCACGTCTCACATTTATCTGAACAGCCCCAGCTGTCACCACAAGAGTCTCCATGCTTCTATGCAAGGTATTCAGTACATGGACAGTAGTCCGAATGGCCCTTACTGTCGTGTATTCCTTGTTGTACTATACGCATGGAATGAATTTGTTTTATTATCTCTTATTCCTTCGAAAGCTCCTTCAGCGACAACGAGCGGGTCCCGGCAACGTCCGACGGCCCTCTCCGCATCAATTTATCAGCAATCTTGGCACAGACACTCTACGTCAATTTGGTTGATCTATATCCTATGAGAGCCTTTTCTGGTCTGCTCGAAGTCCAGGGGAGTATTCTTGGGTGGCCACTACTAATAAAGCGTACCATCGCTAATAACCAAAATGGGACTGCACCTAGTCTCAGGTCGCAGCTCGGCAGCCAAAAGCCGTCCAGACTTCCAGCTTCCCGCCTCCAACATCTGGAGAAGACTCAGACTGACTCCACGAGGTTCATACTTTTCTTTGAGCATCTTATGAAGCTCGTCCAGCAGTGCGACAGTCAGAGAACGCCACTCGACGATAACATCATCAGAGGCTTCAAACTGCGGAAGCTCTTGTCCTGAGCTTTCCTTTCCAGCCTCCAAGTCGTCAGGCTTCAGCTTTAGGACACCGAGATCAACAAATAATCCGCCGTTTCGGTATTCAGGCAGTCCGGTGCCCAGATGCATGTTCTTCCAGGTGAAGCCTAGCTGTCTTTCGAAGATGACGGAGAGCGAGTAGGCCAACCATTGAGTGAGCTTGTGGAATGGCTGGATCTTGCTCTTGGGGTCCTTATCGCTATTGCTGTCGGCGATTTCGGATAGAAGTTGGAGAGGCCATGCGTCTCCAATGGGTTGGCCATTAAAAACGGTACGGTTTCCGGGCCATGAAGGAATGAGGAGGTCCTGCAAGCAGAACCAGAGCTGTTCGTAGTCAAGAGTCTTGGATCCGGAGGCCTTGGATGTGAGGTAGTCTAAAGGATAACGTCAGCCTCGAATATTCACTATCTGCTCGTGCTTACTCACCGACTAAGTTTCCTGGGCGACCGAGCTCTCCGAAGACTGCAGGGTGCTTCAACAAATTGGAGCCAACAGCTTGAAGTAGCTTCACCCGCGATGACACTCCAACCATAGGATTCTCAGAAGATACCTGGAAGTGCTGTTCGAAGCTGGTGTCTTGCAGCTCAATCAAGCCCTTCGCTACAACAGCCAATTAGTCCAAGAAAATAAGAACGTTTCACAAAGCATACCATCGACCTTCTCTTTCAGAGAACTGTCAGAACTGAATGATCCAGCTGTAAACATGTGGAGTGACGCCACAGCGATGCCCTCACTCCGAACAACAACCTGTCCAGTCTCAGGCTCTTTGAACCGCCAGACATCACCCGCTCCAGCGTCAAGAAGAACCGACACAAAGAACAAGTCGACCAAACGCCGGGTAATCTCAGTCTGGTCGACCCCATCTTCGTTTGACCATCGCTTGACGAGGGCATTGACGCGTGCGACGTCTCCAACCTCGAAATGCTGCCAGCGACCATGAGGGGGAATAGTGTCGTACTTGTCAGGCCCAAAATCACGCTGGAGATTGATCGTATTAGCTCTGGGGGTAATTCTGATTATCTAGTATTACTTACATCGATCACTCTGGATACGTAATCAGCGACCGCTCCCATCCGGCCTTCTTCATAGTCGAAGTGCTTCAGATTCCCTTGCTTTGCTGATTCAAAGACCTTGGACGCTTGGTCTCGGACAGCTTGAAGAGAGAGAAGGTACTTGAGGTCACTATCCATTTTGAAGTAAGTTTTTGAGTAGTTCAAGTATTTGGTGTTTGTTTTGTGCTGCCTTGTTGTTGTAGTTGTTGGTTTAAATGCTGCTGATAAGATATGACAGATAACAAACAACCTTCGGCGGACTCCGAAAAGGCGGGGTTACGTCGAGGTGTTACAGGGCGGGTCAAGCACTATCCAATTTGTTCATCGGTTTCACTCCAGTAAACAACAACAAAACCTCCACGGATCAAATTTGACAACGATTGCACATGTGATTCCATGTGAAGTGGCTTACCATGGGCTATTACTGTAGCTTATATCTCTCTTGAGAATGGCGCCCAGAAGGAGATACGACAGTCTCGCCACTGTCATTATTTCAACCATAAGGTGTCAGAAAATACACGCCGCTACTCTCTCATCAAATTTATTTTGTGCACTGGGCCACGTCATACTGGCGGTCTAGACGCAGCAAGCCAGCAAATGTCGCCGTGCTTTTGGAATAAAGGCAGGATAAATGGTTGAAAAAGTATACTCATTTAAAGAGGAATTAATTAGGCATTGAGTAGGCGTACAGATGAACTAATTATCTCAATTTTGAGGAGCGAGGTAAGCCCAATGGATCCAAATTAGATGGCCGCCAATTTCGATCTGCCCAACCCACTGCTAGATCACTTTCCAGCCATACTCGGGATGATGCAGAGGCTGTTTTAATCCTTATGATCGACAGCAGGCCCAACCTTTTCCGATACATAGTCACTCTCAAGGGCAAATTCTAGCGACAACATTAGCAAGCCTGTTCCAGAAACAATCGAATAAGGGAGTACTCACGGTCAGCTTTGGTATACTTGAACTTTCTTGCTGGTACTCTGTTCTCGAACAGAATGTCGATCTCACCAAACGTGCGGTCCTTTGTCTCGGGAAGACGGAACCAGCACCAGATGAGACAAAGTGCGTTAGTTCCGGCGTAGAAAAGCCCTGTTTTCGCACCCCAGCCCCATCCTGCGCGTATCGTTAGCTTCTCCTCTGAACCTGTAACGTGGATGAACTTACCGGATGCAGAAATCATCCTTGGTGTCACCGAGTTGTTGAAGATGGCGGTTAGGTTATACACAAACCTTCCAATGACAATAGTCTTATACCTAAGCCGTCCAGAAGGAGTCTCAGCCACAATGGGATAGCACACAGGGCCAATGGTGATCATGTTGCAAAGAGTCGAGACCACAAACAGTAGGCCAACAGCAAGGTAGGCGTCTTTGCTGGTGGACCATCCGAGAGCTCCGATAGCAATAAGGCAGCAGAACATGAACACAAGACCACTCATATAAATAGTCGCACGCCCGAATCGAGGGAAGAGAACCCAGCAGATCATACCGCCGATGATGTAGCATGCGGAGAGGGAGATGTTAAGGTTGAATGACTGGACTTGGGACCAGCCTGCGGCTTGGAGGAAGATGACGACGAAGCCGAGAATGGCGTTTCCGCAGAGGATTTGGGCGGCCCAGACAACGCAGTTCTGTAAATAAGTTAGAGTGAAGCGACAAACAAGCGACAAAGAGATGTCTTACAATTTCGGTTCGACGGAGGTTGGTGCCCTTGAAGCACTCAAGGATAGAAGCTCCACCAGTCTCTGCCTTTTCCAAAGCAGTAGTATGTTGGATATACGCCAAGCTCGCCTCAATCTCTCCCTCTCTATCTCCATCGTCTGATGCAAGTCGTCGGAGGGATGTCTTAGCGAGCTCGAGTTTACCCCGACGGACGGCGTTCCAGGGGGATTCGGGGGCAAAGTACGCCACGAAGAATAACGGTACGGGCCAGACCCACTGAAGATAGAAGGGTAGCTTCCAGGCTAAGTTACCCTCAATGTTTAGGCATGCGCGGACGACGCCTGATGAGATGAGGATGCCAAGGCCCCAGCACATACAAACCCATGCGGTGACGTATGGACGGAGGATCGTGGGGACGACTTCGCAGGCGTAGGTAGTGGATAGCGTCTAAACGGATAATCCGTCAGTAGATTCATGAAGTAGAATTGGCTCGTGCTTACCTGGAAAACACCCCACGCAACACCGCAAAGTGCTTCACCAAACGCAAGGATAGACAGCGATGGCGCAAAAGCGAGGATAAAAATGGTGCCCACAAGATAAGCCATAAACACCATCATTGTAGTTCGAGCACCAAATTTATCTTGCGCCCAAGCGTTGATCAAAAGACCCGCCAATTGTCCTACTTGCGACGAGTTGGAGAGACCGGATTGCCAGGCCGGGGAGATGACCTTCTTGCCCTCTACAGCGCTGTACTCGCCGAAGTGGTCTTGGAACTGGGTTAGGCCGTAGAAGGATCCGAGCTGTCACAATCGAAGTTAGCTAAGTCCCAGGAGCTAGGCATAGGTCTGCTGCGTACCATCACCAGGTCATAACCCTCCATGACCAAGCTGATGGACAGGACCAAAGACCATAGTACAGCCTTTCTGTATTTCTTGAGGGCTTGGCGAATGGTGAGATCTCTGTCGGCGGCGTTTCCATCTTGAGCGCGTTGAATGAGCTCGATGGTGTGAGGATCGCCGAGGTCAAGACCCTCAAGCGTGTGCTTATTCACGACGATGTTGTCAGCACCCATGATTGCGACGTGAAGTTGACAATGAGTAACTTGTGGACCGAAGTTGGAGATGTTTCAATCTTCAGAATCGCTGCTGCTGATCCTCCGTTTTCAGCATGAGGGGTCGGCATCTCCCTTATAAGTCAATACTGTAGAGTGTCAACCCCATGGGGAACTCAACGCGTCGCTTTGACCCCAAAGTACGTAGTGCGGAGAACCATGAAGTCTGGACCGTATTTGACATAATGTGGTGCCACAACTGTTGAAGAAACAGGGTCTAACAATAGCAGAGCCAATTGGCATCTTTCCCAGGTGAAGCCTCGTGGCCCCATCCCACCGGAAGTCCAACTTGACAAGCCATCCCACCGCGAACTTTATTCAAGACATTCATCCATCCCACCGGAGACGCGCCTCCTCATGAGGGACAGTTGTAGAATTATACAACAACTCGTTGCATCTGAGGCGATATTGCCCGGTACGTAAATAATGCTACTTCTGCAGAATATCCAGCAATCCTGTAGCTAGCGCCACCAAATCAACAGAATCATTACTTGCGCGCGATCCTACCATATTACCATCTCTCGTCATACGCCGGATCAAGAAGATCTACTGTTCTCCCTTCACCCTCAAGAACCTCCATGATCTGCTCTTCTACAAATGGATTTTCTCCGTGGCGATACACATAGTCCATCGCCGCAAGACTCAAGTCTATAACAACGCCATCCATCGTGAGTTCATTCTCAACGACAAATACAATGAGCTTTGGCTGATCACGCACCAACCTTTCCCTCCACCCCAAGTTATACCGCATGTCCCGTAACAAGTCCCTATAAGTTCCCTCCTGGGGCAGGAAGCTCAGAAAGCTCAGCTCAAGCGACTCTAGTGACGATGGAAGCGTAGAAATGAAGGCCATAACATCTCTCTGTTTGACAAAAGATCGAGAAAGGGCAAAGCGCCGTATGTTAGACCAGTCCTTGACGGGGAACATGCTCCGTAGTGGCATTCCTTTCTGTTCATACTCCACAAAGTTGTGCCACGTCCTGCTCACAATCGGAATGCTAGTATCAAAGCGCAGATCTTGCAAGTTCTTTGCTTTGCTTAGAGCCCTGAAGAGGAGGCCGGAACGGAAAGAGGGCCAGTTTTGCCTGGACTCAGTATCGCAGGCAAGTGATAACTCCAAGCGTCTCAGGGGAGGGTGACTGAGGATTGTAACAAGATCGTGGTACTCATCACTATTGGGGTTTTCAAAGACACGGCAGTTAATTCCTGTCCAAAGAATCCGGCTTTCCATAACAAACTCGGAGAGCTTGAACATCGGGTTCTGTCGGATATGCTGAGCGATCTGCTTCGTCATGACACAGAATCCACGCCATTCTCTTTTAGATGTTTCATTCCAGGCCGTAAGGGGATGCTCCTCATATGGGGCTGACCTAGGCCATTCACGTTCCAGAGGGTAGATAAAGCCTTCTGGAAAAGATTTTATGGTAGGCGTGGGATACAGAGATCTTCCAAGAATCCCATGAGCAGCCTGACTCATAGTAACTCTTTTTAGGTTTGGGAAGCGTAAGAGACCACGTCTCAGAGCGTCAGCGTCCCGGTCTGACTCAAGCACTTCGTCTTGCTGTGATTTGAGCTTGCGATATACCTGATATGACTCAGCCATGGTGCGGCGCTTCTTAAAAGCCTCCTTGACATGAGGTATGGACACGAACTCCCACTCCTTAGCGTTGATAACATTTATGGTGCAATGGAAAAATCTTCTAAACCAGTACGGCACTCTCATGGGATCTTCCGGGTCTCTATGCTTCTCTTTATACCGACTGCTCCAAGGGTGGCCAAAGCGCGAATCATCGTAGATGATCTCGGTCACTTTGAACCGAAAGACATCATGGTTCGCAATCAAGGTGAGAACTTCGATGTCGCGCAGATTGGTAGATATAAACACACGGTTGAAGCGGGGAAGAGATCTGTTCCCGAGATAAGAGCACGTCAGGCGGAGATTTTTGATGTCGGCGTTAGGCAGAGTGTAGATAAATTGATTCAGAAGCTCGAGGGGTAGGCGATTGAGAATACTGAGACTCTTATGACTTTGATATGCTGAGTCCATTATGAGAGATGCAACGCGACCAAGCGCATGGTGTATGAGGAAAAAGGTGGACTTGAAATGAGACCAATCCTTGCCCGGCTAATATCCTGAGGTTTAGCCTAGGGAAGCCTAGAGAGGGATTACGAATACGCCAAAGTGTGTGTGGTGGGGCTGATATATCCGATTAAAGACGGCACAAAGCAACCTTCAGTAGCCAAACATCACTAACCAATACTTGGTAGATAAATACAATTTATTTGCGATGCCTAGAAGGGGCCCAAACTCAGGCTGACAGGATACAGCCAGATTTATGAAAGCAAAAGATCCCTATGCTCTCTTAGTCTAAGTGGCATATCTCCAATGAGGATGATCATCACCCAAGTTATCGGCATCTGCAGCCTGAAGCCTATGGTCCCTCTCCCCACGATCCCTCTTCTTATTCTCCCTGATAGCAAGGAAGTAAAACGCTGTACAGGCAATACCACAAATCCACACCATACCAAGACTGACTCCCAGGCCAGTCCAGTACTCGGGAGCCTCACGTGTAAGATACACGTTGGAAGCGACGATACCACCAAGATTACCGAAGCCAACTTGCGAAGCTGAGGCGATGGAGCGCTTGTAGTGTCCGCCCATGGTGTTGGATAACCATCCGAGAACGACGGGCTGTGTGATGTAACCGCCTGTGACGAGAAGGAAGAGCGCAAAGTATCGTGCCGCAGTGGGGACTTGATGTTGGAGGAGAAGGAGTATGTAGCCGATGCTGGTCATGACGACACCAAACATGGTGAAGCCATAGCGATGACGCATACGGTCGGCGAGGTATGCAGATGAAAGACAACCAATGGTGGCAACGATGTATACTGGGATGGTGAGTACTTGTGCGCGCTCGGCAGCGTATCCCATCTCACGGAGGATGGTAGGAATGAAGAACTGTGAAAGTCAGTGTCAGCGCTCTTTATGTCTCAGTGGGAATTGATCATACCGAGCCAGCGTAGCCATTATTGACGATGCCAAAGTATGCCAGAGTGCCGAGATAAATCTTCCAATCAGTCAGGATTCTCCTCCAGGCTGCCTTGTTGAGATGGTCCATCCTGGCATCACCAGAATCATCAGCCAGTCGAGCCACAAGTCTCGATCTCTCATCGTCGTTCAGGAACGACGCGGTCTCTGGCCAATCGGGGATCCACCACTTGGAAATGACTCCAACAACTACTGTGAGAAGTCCCTCGAGGATAAAGATCCTACTCAAGCATTAGAAGAGTGTAGCCGTTGAGGGGCGAGAGACATACCAGCGCCATGCTTCAAGGCCACCAACATCATGCATCTTGGCAATCGCAAAGGCCAAAAGGCCAGAAAAAGCGCCCGCCAAGATAGCGGCGCTGAAGAACAATGACATACGCCACTGAACTTCGTAGCGTTTGTAGTACATGCTGATAAGATAGATACAACCTGGGACGATACCAGCTTCGAAGAAGCCGAGAAGTGCGCGACAGGCGATAAGGCCTTGTACGTTTTTGACGAGGCCCATGCCGACAGTTGAGATGCCTATTGTGATCAGCCACTTGTTAAGCGCAGTCGCAGTACTACTGTAACTTACCCCAGAGAACGGTGATTCCTGCTAGCCAAAGAGAAGGCGAAATTCTCTTGATTATTATGTTCGATGGGACTTCGAAGATGATGTACTGCAAAAGTTCGAGTCAGAATGTGGTATAACTATATCGGGTCGATCGACCTACGGGGATGAAGAAGACGAAGAGTGCCATGTTGTAATCGACGCCAGTCATCTTGAGATCCTCTGTCATTCCTTGGATTTTCGCGTTGCCTAGATTCGAAGATGGTCTTATCAGCTTCAGCCTTCTCAAGCGAGTCTGTCGCGTCATGATGACATACCGATATTAGTTCTGTCCATAAAGGAAAGAAAATAGATTACCATCAGGGGAGGAAGCAATCTAGAGTCACACTTGCGCAGAAGCTTCTTGGTAGCCTCTGACTCCTCAGGTGTCTGCTCTGCAGTAGACTCAGCACCCTTGAGTGAAGCATGGTCAAAGGCAGCTTTCTCGTTGAGGTCAGCCATAATGAAAGAGGAGAGTGTGGATTGATGGTGCTGGGTTGTGTGATGCGGATCGAGCAGGGTGGTGCATACCCTGCCTTCTTATGGGAATGAACTCCCTGGCTGTCGACCCGGTAGGTCTTGTAACTTGAGGGTTGGCATTGACGAATGGATCTAGTTCGAAGCGGTAAAGCCAAGTGCGGGGGCCTGGGGATGCACCCCGGAGTCCCCCCGCGTGATGGAAGAGCAATCCCGGGGTAACAAGGTCATAGTTAGACGGCGTGGTAGGTTATGTCACTCTGGATGAGATCCGAGACACAGAGCAATAGTATTGACTAGGCTATCCTGGCTGGTAATTCCAAATACTGACTGTCTGATAGTACGTTTCAACAGGACGGGTCATTCCCGAGGGTTTTTACGGGCATCAACAGGATACGGAAAGGGTATTTACCGCCAAGGTTAATCTGGGTCATGAATGAACGAGATCTAGACCTCCATGTGGCTTGATCCCTAGCTATTGGCCCTCATTCGCGAATACTACCTAGTTCTTGGCCCTTGTCTATGAGGATTTGCAAACCAACAAGTTTAACTGGCATAAGTAGGCATCCGCTAACAAAATATCCCGTGCTTTATCGCTTAGTGCATTGGAGGATGTACTACCAACGCTGAGCTGAGAGAAGTCGATATAAGCCAGAAATCGGACTGGTTGAGGATACCTGCTATGCTGAATCATTCGGAAATTACGGATTCGTAAACTTGACCCAGTATTCAATTGAGACTAAGCGTGGTGATGAATGTAAACAATGATGCTGACAGTCAATTCCATGGTAAGGAATTATTATGTACAGACGGTACGGAGTAATCGATAAGTAATTACTCATCTCCTGTTCGCCCCTTTCCCCATAATTCGGGAAATGTTCTGGTGCCGGAAGCGGGGATCATGTCTCCGCTACCGAAGTCAGTTGCCAGCGCCGATCCCCCGCTCGGGTACCAGCCGTGACTGGGAAACTCCTCTTCGGATGAATCCCGCGCTGCAACATTAAACGTAAACAAAGACCCCGCGAAGTCGACCCAATTTACTCACCATCGACCACTTCGGACCCGTGACAAGATGAGATTGGAAGCTCAAACCACAGAAGCAGATCGCACAGATCCTGCACCAGCAAAGCCCAGCATGTACGTTGCCCACCAAGACGACACTACGCAGGACTAACGTGGCGCAGGTACACAACATCATTCGCCTTTTTTGAGGCCCTGGTCGAAGCAGGCGTCAAGAACTGTTTCGTCAATCTCGGGTCTGACCATCCTAGTATTCTTGAGGCTATGGTCAGGGGCCAGCGGGAACTGAAAGATAAATTTCCCAGGATCATCACGTGTCCGAATGAAATGGTAGCGCTGTCCATGGCAGATGGCTATGCGAGATTGAGTGGCGAGGCACAATGTGTTATTGTGCATGTTGATGTAGGTACCTCTGCTCTTGCGGCGGCTATTCACAACGCTGCTATGGGAAGAGCGCCGGTTTTGATCTTTGCGGGCTTGTCGCCTTATTCTATCGAGGGAGAACTTCTTGGCTCAAGAACTGAGTTTATGTAAGCCTACTCTTACGCATTACGGGAGCTTGACTAATGCCATTAAGCCACTGGATTCAAGATGTTCCTGATCAGAAGCAGATTGTTTCTCAATACTGTCGTTATGTAGGGGAGATCAAGACTGGAAAGAACGTCAAGCAAATGGTCCGTCGCGCCCTCCAACTTGCAACAAGCCATCCCCAAGGACCCTCGTATCTCATGGGCGCCCGCGAAGTCATGGAAGAAACCATCGAACCATACACCATCAACTCCGCCTTCTGGAAGCCCGTCGCACCCGCAGCCCTCCCCCAAGAAGCCGTGCAAGAAATTGCAGAAGCTTTAGTCAACGCGTCTGACCCACTGGTAATCGTCGGCTTTACCGGACGAAATCATGCAGCTGTTGAACCTCTCGTCACACTGGCGAATACTATCAAGGGATTGAGGGTTCTTGATACGGGATGCTCGGATATGTGCTTCCCTGCTGATCATCCTGGATGGTTGGGTATGAAGTACGGCGTTGACTCGGCGATTCAGAATGCGGATGTCTTTCTCATCTTGGACTGTGATGTTCCGTGGATTAACAAGCTCTGCAAGCCAAAGAAGGACGCGAGGATCTTCCATCTTGATGTTGATCCGTTGAAGGAGAGCATGTTGGTGTTTTATATTGATGCTGAGCAGCGATACCGTGTTGATGCCGAGACTTCTCTGAGGCAGATCACAGACTATCTCCGGGCCTCGCTATCTGAGAAGCTAGCTACCGCCGAGTTTGATCGCCGAGAACAATCTTTGCAAAAGTCATACGCGGAACGTATCCAAACGCTTGATGCGAAGGCCAAGCCTCTTGACTCAGGCAAGCTCACAACTGATTATGTTTGCTCAACGTTACGCGCCAAGTTACCCGAAGATACAATCTGGGCCGTCGAGGCCATCACAAACATGATCTCAGTCGCTGATCAAATCCGCGCTACCATCCCCGGCCAATGGATTCACTGCGGCGGCGGCGGTCTCGGCTGGAGCGGAGGCGGTGCACTAGGTATCAAACTAGCCGCCGACGCAGCAGACGCTCTCGTCCCCGGGAAGCGCAAACGCTACGTCGTGCAAATCGTAGGCGACGGGTCGTACATGTTCTCCGTGCCTTCAAGCGTTTACTGGATCTCTGCGCGTTATGGTATTCCTGTTCTTACCATCGTGTTGAACAACCTTGGATGGAATGCGCCAAAGAGATCGATGTTGTTGGTTCACCCTGATGGACCTGCTTCGAGGGCGACGAATGAGGAGTTGAATATTTCGTTTGCGCCGAGTCCGGATTATGCGGGTATTGCGAAGGCTGCTAGTAACGGGGTGATCTTTGGTGCGCGAGTTGCTGATGTTGAGGAGTTTCAGAGTGCATTGGTTGGGGCGGTTGAGAGCTTGGATAGAGGCGTGTCAGCTGTGTTGGACGTGGCGATTTAAAAAGCGACTAGGCACGATAGATAATAATAAAATACACATCGCACTCTTAATGGCAGATAGACGCCTTCCTTGCTTGTCAAAAACTTTCGCTATTATGACGTATGTGCCCGTTAATGATCTAAACCTTCAACACAAACTTCTCACCGCTTGCCCCAGCTCTAAGAAGATCCAACATCTCCTGCGTGGCTCCCAATCCACCTTCGATGACACGAGCCCGTGGTGTAGGCTTGATCTTCCCTTCTTCCAGAGCCTTGGTCAACCAGCCGCCGAAAACCCAGCTTGCTATGACTGGATAGTTCTCTGTGAACCCCACGCAGTTGGTATGGTGTCCTTCAATTCCAGCTGGCATCAACGTTTCTTCCGGCCATGGCATCAGCGCTGTGGCCTTACATCCTAGGGCTATATCAGCCGCAGTCAGTATCTCCGCAACCGAATCGAACGAGCTACCCTCTGCTCTGGCATCGATAACGCCGCGAATCCTTTTCCCGGAAGCTTTCAAGGCTGCAGCTACCTTCTGCGCGACTTGAGGGTCAAGATAGTCCCTTACATCCTTCGCCCCCAAAGCCTTGAGCCACTCGTGATGCTTCGGACTTGCAGTCGCGTAGACACTCCATCCCAGCGAATGCGCTATCTGCATTGCTGATATCCCAACAGCCGAAGCGCCACTCCAAACCAGAATAGCTCCATCTTCCTCATCAGTCTTCTCCCGCATTGGCAGCCCGAGACCGTCGAACAGCGCGATAGACGCAGTGAGAATTCCAACGGGAAGCACAGAGCCCTCCTCAAGGCTGATGTTGTCGGGTAAGTGAGTCGTCGCCACTTCATCGAGAAGAGTATAGGTCTGATACGCTGCCTTGTCGATGTTCTCGCTTATAACACCTAGTGCAAAGCCGATGACGCGATCACCTGGTTTGAAGCGTGTTACATCAGAGCCAACGGATACAACGACACCGGCAAGGTCACTGCCAAGTACGGCTGGGAATTTGCTGGAAAGACCGAGGGTTTGGAATTTCCAGTCTGAGGGGTTTGCAGCGACCACGGCATTGCGTACCAGTAGTTCGCCCTCCTTCGGGGTTGGGACAGGACGTTGCTGGATTGTCAGTTGACCCTGTTTAACGGGAAGGACGGCGGCGATATTGGGCTCTATGGTATGAGACATGCTGTAAGAATTGTATGATAGTTGATTGATGGACAATAATTCGGTAGTAATACTGAATACTTGAGTAGATATTTCAATGACATCTGCTGGAAGGATCAGACCTGTGCCTTGATTTATATTAAAGCCTCTCAAATGCAGCTATGCTATTCAGAACCATTTGTCATATTGGGTTTCAACTCGCTCTAATATGACATCAACTCAAGGCTCTTGTCGAGGTTCGTCCGATACTCGACCGAATGACAAAGCAAAATCGAGGGGATCAAGAGTCCAGATGATTGGCTGGTGAACAAAGCTGGGCAAGTATTTGCGAGAGTGGACCGCATCTCATGCACCTAATTGGCCTCTTATTTATGAAGGAATGTATTTGCACTATTGAAGCCCATTCTCATATCGGCGGGCAACATCTTCTTATCGCCATCATCTAAGGGTTAACCGCAAGTTTATCAAAGTGCAACCCTCCACCAGATGAACAAACATTGCTCTGCTGCACAATCCTCGCAACATTCGCATTACACGAAAATCCCTGCTGACAAGCGTACATGTCCTGCGCATTGCTCCCACCAGTCCATCTCATGCTCTGAAAGATAACCCCATTCGCCAGCGCATTGGTCCACTGATAGCCCTTGCACGGATCCCAGGTGAGCATGAAGGGATCGTAGATAACATTCTGGCAGCCTGTGTCGGAGTAGAGGGCGAAGTTGGTGAAGCGGAGGGGGAGTTGACAAGCTGCCTTTTGGGCGGCGTCGGAGGCGGGGGAGGCGACGGCTGAGGATGAGGGGGCTTTGGAGGTGTCGGCGGGTTGGGAGAAGGGTAGGGTTTTGACGGTTACTTCGGCAGGGACTTTTGGAGCTGCCATGGCGACTGGGGCTGCAAGGAGCAGAAGACCGATGTCGCGGAGAGAAACCATTGTGTGAGGGTAGGTATGTCGTTAGGAATAGATGTCTGAGGCAGAATTGATGAGATAGACTCTGATGTTTGGTCTGGATCTGTGGAATATTAGGTGGCCTGCAAGATTATATAGTCAATTTTGTGTGTCTTCTTGTAAGGCACGAATACGACTCGGCGTAGATGATTGGAAGTGATAGATAGACACTACGGAGTAATAACTCTACAGTATCCGGTACGGCCCGCTCGGATTGCGGGATCGCCGTAAGCGATGCAACACAAAGGTGCCTTGAAAGGCTCTTTGGAGAAGTAATATGCAACAAATCGGGTTATAAGATTAACACTGGACACGCCGCTTACTGTCGCCGCTTATGGCTGAGACCTGCTGATCGTCACAGCAGGCATGGCCGCTTATTGTGTCGCCGACCATCCGAAAAAGTACAACACAGAGATCAGATCATCATGAACCCCTCTATTGTGCAGTGGTCTAATCTCTGCGATCGAATATCTTTCCCGGGTTCATCAACCACAGCGGATCCAGACTCGTCTTGATAGCTCTCATGACTTGGATCGGTACCTCTCCAACCTCCTCCCGAAGAAACTCCTTCTTTCCAAGCCCGACACCATGCTCACCCTGGGGCATTATTGTTAGATAAGTCAGTTTACAGTTAGGTTGCATCGCTTACCGTGCATGTTCCCTCCATCTCAATCGCCCGTGACACCATTTTGTGAACACAGTCTTCTACTTCTTTGCGCTGCTTTTCCTCGAATAGGATAGTCTCGTGGAAGTTGCCGTCGCCGATGTGTCCAAGAATACTACCAAATAATCCTAGCTCGACAAGTTCTTTCTTGGATGTGTCTATTCAAGGTTATTAATATCCACAAAGGGAGCAATCGGGGCACGCGAACTGACCTATAAGCTCGGAAACTCGGGATAGAGGAACAGCGACATCCGTGGACCAAACATGTCCATCTGTCTCACGCAATGCCATCATACTCCACAGCGCCTCTTTCCGAGCTGACCACAGAGCCTTCTGTTTCTCTGGATCACTTTCGTATTGGAAGCCATTTGCATGATGCTTCTTCGATATAGTCTGAACTTGTATAATGCTATCCTTGACAACAGCATCACTACCGCTGAACTTGAAGAACAGCGTCGGCTCTTCCTTCCACTTCCGAGATGTTGCGCCCATTCTGTTGATAACGCTCATAAGTACTTCATCCAGGATCTCAACAGCACTGATCGGTATCCCTCGACGGATGACTTCAATGGCCATGGTTGCTGCAGCTTTGACTGATGGAAATGTGACTACCGCGATACCTGTGTGTTCAGGGATGGGAGCTAGCTTCAGCGTAGCTTCGGTGACGAAACCCAAGGTGCCTTCAGATCCTACGAATAGTGAGTTCAGGTTATAGCCTGCTGATGACTTTCTCGGTCGTCGCCGGGTCTTGAGGATTGTGCCGTCGCTTAGTACTACTGTGAGATTGACTACCCAGTCTCTCATGGTACCGTACTTGACAGCATTCGTCCCACTAACAGACTGTCAGGCCTGGATGCTTTTCTCAGTTGAGTCTACTGACCTGCAGTTCGTTCCAACCATGCCGCCAATCTGAGCCTTTGGGGCGGGTTAGTGAAAGTCTCTTTCTGATAGCGGGAGAACTGACAGAAGGGCCTGGGTCTATGGGGAAGAAAAGACCAGTGTCTTTAATCTTCTCGTTTAGATCCATCCACGGCACAGATGGCTGAACAACCACGTTGAGGCTAGAGATTCAGCGTTAATATCAAACCAGTCACGATATCTAGTAACTCACTCGTCACTGTGCATCTCCAAGATCTGGTTCATATTGACAAAATCAACACTCACGCCACCAAAAGGTGCTGAGAAGTGGCCTTCAACACTCGAACCTCCAGAATATGGAACTTGTCACTGTTAGATCTACCATTCCAATTTCTGTTGGTGTCAGACTTACTCATCGGTACGCGTCTTTTGTGACATATCTTTGCAATTGCAGCAACCTCCTCCGTCGTCTTGGGGAACGCGACGGCAACTGGTAGCCGCTCGATGTTTATCGTCGACCAATCCGAATAACCGTGAGAATGAAGTATTTCATCTTCTATGCTTACAGCATCTTCTCCAAGTGCTTTTCTTATCTCTTCAACTGCCTGATTCTCTCGATTAGATTTATTTGGTGGAACCCATTGTGAATGCTTGCTTACCGATTCCATCCCTGCTCGGCTTGCATAATGGGGCTCATCGTCCTTCTGCTTCTCGTGGCTTACTACGGTATATAGCAATGTTCCTCCAATCGTCGTTGCAGTTGCAGATAATGCCGAGGCAAGAAACATTGGTCTCTTTCGCTTTTCCTGTGTCCGACTTTTACCATTGTGCTCAGATTTACCATTGCTGAAACGCCGTGCGGTTGGAAGTGCGCGGTTCACTGTCCGCCCCACCACACATTGTGATGGAAGTCTTCTCAAACACCCCGACAGGGCACGATATGGTGTCTTGAGCATGATAAGATTAGATTGGAGGGATTTAAAAAAAAACAAAAAACGAATCAGCACCTAGAGTCAGGTGGTGAGACTTCTCATAGTATTCGGGCCATGAGCCGAATATAAGTCCCGGGTAGACTCTGCAACCCTCTAACCCGAATGCGCATAGTGTCGAACGGATATTTGCCGTTCCCCATCCCATTCCAACCGAAAAACACCGGGTACAGCCCGTGAAAAAGGGAGATCCTCCCCTCAGTCTCGGGTTTATCAATTCCCCCGCTCTTTTCTTCGCAATGGACATGCCGCAAGCACAGGAAGAGGAAATAGTAGTACGGCCGGCCAAGCGGAAAAGAGTCGCGTTGGCATGCGATACCTGTCGCGAACGGAAGATCAAGTGCGATGGGTCGAAGCCCTTGTGTAATCCCTGCAGAAAGAGGGGGGAACCGTCTGCACGATGCGTTTATACTGTCATTGCCGGAACGGCAAAACAGCTTAGTGAGCAAGAGTAAGTCCTTCATCTAACCGGGGCGCTGTTTCTTTGCTGATTGCTTTTCTAGGTACATTGCATCACTGCAGAAACAAGTACAGGACATGCAATTGGTGATCGACCAGCTCCGCCAAGATGCAGAACTCACCCCCAAAAGCCCCAGAGGCATACCAGGTACAATCCACGCCACAACAAACGGCCCAAGCCCCGTGAGTACAATGGGCGCTACAACACTCACTCTGGACCGTCAGGAAGACGAGTTCTTTGGTCAATCCTCGGTCCACTCCCTTCTCCGAGAGGTTCCTCATCCCGACCGCCGTAGCAGCCGGTCAACGGCCCCGCCTCGGAATCGGGACCAGAGTTCCGCGACGTCATTTCTAACAGCCGAATTTGCGTTGCCACCAAGACAAGTAGCCGATAAATTCCTGAATCTGTACTTCGACAATGTGCACATCTTTTATCCTTGGACGCATTCTACTTGGTTCAGAAAACGGTATGAGTCCTTATGGACGCCAGGTGGATATCCAGGTGCGGATACCGGTCAGACCGGCGATATTGGCCTAGGAGGAGACCAGTGCTCCGAAACCTCGTTCTTTTGTGCTCTGAATGCCATGTTTGCTCTGGGGTGTGAGCTTTCGGACCTACCGGAGAAGGAATCGGCCTCGGCAATGTTCAGCTCAAGAATGAGAAGCTTGTTACAGATGGATGTCCTTGACAAGGGCGACCTGTCACATGTGCAGGCATTGCTCCTTGCGGGCGACTACGCGCACTCGAGTGAGCACCCCATAAGGTGTTACAACACTGTCGGCCTGGCGTGTCGTATCGCTGTGGGGCTGGGTTTGCACACAGACAGGCATGCTGATCAGAGATCTGTCATGGAGAATGAAGTGCGTCGAAGGGTTTGGTACGGATGCTTGCACCTGGAGATGTTAGTCATATTCGATGAGTTAAGTACTGGCTACTGGCTAACAATATCTTAGGGCAGTCTGCATGACTCTAGGGAGACCACCAGTTCTGCAAGTAACAGACGGCGTTCCGGTTCCTGCTGCAGTCGACGATGAGTTCATCTGTCCTGATAACACCTCATGCGTCCAACCAGAGGGAAAAGTATCACAAAACCTTTTCGTAGTCGAGAACATTCGACTAGCTAAGATTCTCGGCAAGATCCTCTCTTCGATATACTGGCCGAGTCCATCCTCTGACTTCAGTGCGCTTGTCCGTCTAGACGGTCTGCTCGAAGATTTCAAAAGCTCTCTGGTGAACGATCTAAGATGGTGGGATGTCGACGCAGCGAGGCACCAAGGAGCCAGAGGCCACATCTTGAAGCGGCAGACAAATGTGCTTCACGCCAGATTCCTTCATCTCAGAATCTTGTTGTACAGGCCTAGTTTCAGTTCATTCTGCGCGGCAGCAAGGCGACCACGACAACGCCGGGGTGCGGGCTCCGGCCTAGACGAGGCCGGCATCGAAGCCAACACTCTGCAGGGTGCCTTCCAGGCTCAGTGCGCCACTACGTGTGTTCAGGTTGCCTACGAACTATCGGCATCCCTGCGGGCCGCGTGGGAAGTGGAAGCGACAGGAGCATGGTGGTTCAGATTCTTTTGTATGGCAATTCTCCACCGTTATTACAACTGCACTGCTGACATGTCACTCTTCTAGACCTCATGACATGCGGAGGCATAATCATCCTCGCCGAGTGTGCCCAAGCCGGAGGAAGCACGCACTTCAACCAGCAGCAGCTCGACGCCACTTGGGAGAACACTACAGTACTTCTTCGGGATATTGGCAGGGAAAATGCCCGCGCCAGGGGATACTTGGACCATCTGCAACTTTTGAAAGACCAAGCACGGTCTGCTCACTTCTGTAAGTAAAGCTACATTTCAACCACCAGGACCCTATCACTAATGCCTATCAGCCATGCGCAATTCTGTAGTGCCGTCCCGGGCATCATCTCCCAGACCACCTGTCAGCCCTGCGGGTGAGAACTGCGATGGACTTATACCTCAAGGGACAGAGGGACAGACAGAACCTATTGATTTCATGGCGTCATTGTTTAATGATAGTTGGGACTGGAGCCTTGACGGCGGTATGCCAACTTATGGCGGTCTCGGATTTGGAGACGAGTTCATATTTCCTCTGCCTGGCGGACTAGCTTAACTATTGTAAACACTAACCGTATAATGTCAACTTGACTGCTTCACAGGCCTGTCCAGTATTGCGTCTCCATATTCTTAATGCTGACGGTTTGGGGTGTTTCCGCTGAACTGAAGCAAACGTGAAGAAGGAACTCGCCTTGGGGTATCTTCCACTTGTCCACATCAGCATCAAAGTAGCTGAAAGCGTACTTGTCCAGATTAAACGTAACCTCCTCTGTTTGTCCAGCTGGGATAAACACCTTGCAGTACGATCTGAGATCCTTGACCGGTCGTGAATTGCCGTCACATGGTGGAGGAGTCACATACAATTGAACCACTTGCTTACCATCCCTTGTCCCTGTGTTTTTCACTTCCAGCACAAGTGAAGTCTCCGTTGTGTCCGGACTACCGAACTTGGAGTTCGCACTAACCGGCCCAGCCAACTCAAACGTCGTGTAAGAAAGCCCTTCTCCAAAATGAAACTGAGGCTCTGGGGCATCCCCATCATCGTAGAAGCGGTATCCAACCTTGAGACGCTCCTCGTAATTAAGCTCGAGATTATCATCGCATGGAAAATTTGGATACGCTGGGTTGTCCTCATTCCGCTTCGGCCATGACATAGGCAATCGGCCCGATGGATTCACATGTCCAAGCAGAACGCGGGCGATGGCGTGGCCACACTCTTGACCTGCGAACCAAGCTTGGAGGAAGCACGGAACTTGATCGATGATGGGAGAAACTGTGATGGGAGATCCTGAGAGATTGACAATAACTGCGCGGGGATTGCTTGCTACCACTGCGTCGATCAGTTCGTACTGATCAGACGTCAAGTCCATCGTATCGCGATCATAACCCTCAGACTCAAGCTCATTCGTCGTGCCAACAAATACAACCGCTACGTCAGAAGATGCAGCGATCTCTGCAGCGTCTTGAATAGCGCCTGGAATATCAACGTGCTCCATAAAGCGAAGGCTAGCGCCCTGAAACATGGTTCCCCCAATCTTGGAGAGAACCTCAGGATCAGTCGCCCAAGAGTGCAGCTCGATCTTGTACTCCTTACCAGCTTCCATACTGAGGGTGAAGCGTCGCTCAATCTTGGCCTTGTAGAAGTAGAAGGACTCGGGAAGAAGGACCGGCTCCTGTGGACGATGGAAGACCTTGTCGCCATTGACAAACACATCTGCCTTGCCGGTGGTGATGACCGAGAATACATGGCTCCCGCTTGTCGTTGGGCGTAGAGTAAAAGACATACTAGTGCAGTACTCCTTGCTTAGATACGCAGGCCAAGCCTCCTTGATCATATACTCAGGCAACACGATTGTCTGCTCATGAGCGACGTTCTCACCAACTGCCGAGCTGTTAAACCAGCGCAGTTGAACAGGTGAAATGATCTCTGGCTGAGCGTGGGGTAGGGCACCAAAGACCGGAACTCCCGGTGCATGACGGCAGTCGACGCCTTGAGCCTTTAGGCCCTCAAGGGGTGAGATGATGTGCTGAGCCAGGACCTTGGCGCTGCCTCCACCGCCGATGCTGGGATGAAGAGCATGGTGACCTATAACGGCAACTGAAGCCTTTGAGGGGAGCGGTAAGATGTTGTCGTCGTTCTTGAGGAGAACCATTCCATCTGCTGCGATGGAGGTGATGAACTCAAGACGCTCTGGGTCTACTACCGAACGCTCTGGCTTCTCAACTGGATCTTCAAAGCGACCAGTCTTTTGCGCAAGTTCGAGAACCCTACTGACACTCTTGTTGAGAGTCTCTAATGTCACAGTACCAGCTTCGATGTCCTTCAGAAGCTTCTCGCCACGCCATCTCGTCGGGCCTGGCATTTCAAGATCCAGACCAGAGTTGAGGGCTTGAGCAGTTGAGTATGTTCCCATCCAATCTGAAACCACAAGACCTGAGAATCTCCATTCTTTACGCAGCACTTCCTCCAGTAGCCAGTGGCTCTCGGCGCAGTACTCTCTGTTGAGGCGGTTGTACGAGGTCATGAAGCACCAGGGATCTGAATCGCGCATCACCAGCTGAAAGGGAAGCATGTAAATTTCGCGCAAAGTCTGGCGATCGATATTAGACGTCATCTTGGTCCTTGACTTTTCAGATTCATTGGCGACGAAATGCTTCGGCGTGGCTGCTATGCCCTCGCTCTGGCAGCCTCGAACAAACGCCGATGCCAGAGTCCCAATGAGGTACGGATCCTCAGAGTAGGTCTCGTAGTTTCTCCCGCCGAGCGGAGATCTGATGATGTTCATAGTTGGCGCGAGCAGAACATTGGCAGATTTTGTCTTGGTCTCTTTTGCGATCTCCTTTCCTAAGCGATATGCTTGCTCTGTGTCAAAGCTCGCACCGACGGCGGTGGAGCAGGGAAAACAAGCTGCTGTGATACCGCTGACGTAGCTCTCCCCACGAGCGCCATTGGGACCATCGGACATTTTGATATGGGGAACGAAGACATCATCTCGTTTGATGGTTGGTGTACGCCACCAGTCAACGGCTGCCAAAAGACTCACTTTCTCTTCTACTGTGAGCTTGGAGACGAGATCGTTCGTGGGTGTCATGATGGGAACAACACTGCCAGGCTGCGGTCGGGTTAGGTAATGACAGTATGACTGACCGACATTGGTATACCTTCTATAATAAAAGGGAATAGCCTTAGTTTATGGTAGTGCAGTGAGCTTTGGGGCTCAGTTGGTAGCGCAGGTTTTGTGGCTTGAAGGGAAAATTGCGTTGACGGGAAGCACCCGTTGCTCGAGTCATGGGTCTGCGGGCATCATCCGAAAATTTGCTCTCTCCAAGGTTTCGCTTCACGGGCTGTGGGGACGACGTGACATTAGATCCAGCCCCGTGGGGTCGTTGAGTCAAGCAGACTTTTCTTGGGGACCCCATAATACAGCACAGATGCCATTCATTCCCAGGGGGTGAGAAGCCCATGCTGTCGTGCGGAGTAACGGTGAATGAGCAGGCAGATAGGTATATTAAAGGTCAAGGTGTTGGCGTACCAATTGCACATCATCAGCTTCAAGCACTACTACTCCCCCCATCAACAGCACTCGCCTTCTGTCTCATTGATTCACAGTCACTACAACATGGGCAAGGATAGTCTGGAAGTTAAGGCGGACGTCGCTATGGCGGAGAATGCAGGCCATGTCGTCGACGAACAGGTCCTTGATCTCGACAAGAGAATCCGGGATCTTGTTGCCATGGCGCCTCCATTCTACCAGAACAAGAATCTTCTCCGTCTCTACCTTCTCATCATCCCAACTTGTCTAGCAGCTGCTATCACTCTGGGGTTCGATGCGAGTATGATGTCTGGTCTTCAAGCTGTGCCTTCTTGGGATAACTGTAAGTGCTCTCCTGCTCCCGACCTGGTCTTGTACCTGTAGCTGACGAAACCTTCTAGACTTTGGTCAACCTCGTGGCGCGCTCCTTGGTATCATGTCTGCGATCCTCCCCCTCGGATGTGTTGTCGCGACGCCCTTTATCAGCTTGGTCGGTGATCGTTGGGGACGACGCATGGGCATCTTTGTCGGCGCTGTAATTATGATCATCGGTGCTGCCATACAAGGTGCTTCTGTTCACTGTAAGTATTCCTTCCCGCCATCACTGTCTGGCAAATCTGACCCATGGCTGTCTAGTCGCCATGTTTCTCATCTCCCGCTTTATCATCGGTTTCGGCCTCGTCTTCGCAAACGCCTACGCCCCCATGCTCATCGGCGAACTCGCCCACCCGAAAGAACGACAAGTCATCACATCCCTATATCAGACCTCTTGGTACATCGGTGCTATCCTCGCTGCTTGGGTGACCTTTGGAACCTTTAGCATCAAGAGCGAATGGGCGTGGAGAATCCCGTCTCTTCTACAGGCTGCCCCTGCTCTGCTTCCCATCTCATGCGTCTTTCTTCTTCCCGAGTCCCCTCGATGGCTCATCGCCAACGGTCGTAGTGAAGAAGCAAAGGCTGTGCTGGTTAAGTGGCATGCCAATGGGAACGAGGACGATGAACTTGTCCAGCTCGAGTTTATCCAGATGCGAAATGTCATTGAAGCCGAGGTGAGCAACGAGACCGGTTGGAAGGACCTTTTGACATCGCCTGGTAATCGAAAGCGAGTCTTTATTCTGGTCTGTCTCGGCTGCTTCAGTCAGTGGTCGGGCAATGGCCTCGTTTCTTACTACCTTGTTCGTGTGCTCGAAACTGTTGGTGTCACCAACCCTCGGGAGCGTAACATCCTCAACGGCTGCCTCATGATCTTCAACTGGCTCACCTCGGTGGCATCGGCTTTCCTTACTGCTTACATGAAGCGTCGAACCCAGTTCCTCATCTCTGTTGGCGGCATGCTCGCCATCTTCGCATCTCAGACTCTTTGCGCCGGCCTCTTCAACGAAGATCACAACACCGCCGCAGGAAAAGCCGTCATCGCTATGCTCTTCCTCTTCTACTTCTTCTACAACTTGGCCTTCAACGCGCTCCTCTACTCCTATCCTGTAGAGATCCTTCCGTATCCCATTCGTGCCAAGGGTTTCTCGCTCCTCATGTTCTTCGGAAAGGCGAGTAACTTTATCAACACCATGGTCAACCCCATCGGTCTTCAGGCACTGGCGTGGAAGTTTTACTTTGTTTACGTGGCGTGGCTTGCTATTGAGCTTGCTGTGGTTTGGAAGTTCTTTGTCGAGACAAAGGGCCCGAGTCTCGAAGCTATTGCTGCCGTTTTCGACGGTCATGCCACGGCGGTTGAGCATGAGTCGCAAGACTTGAAGCAGAAGAAGTTGGAGGAAGATTGAGCCATGGTTCTATGTGTAACTCAGTTATGTTATGTGTCAGGCAGTGGCCTTGGCTGTTGGAAGTAGTAAATACTCACTTCCTTGAAACGCATCTATTCTTTACAATTCAATGCCTTCATAGTAAACATCCTTGACACGTCGCAGTTCTCTCGGACATGTTAGCTTAACACATCAGTGGTATACTTTAGAACTGTTTTCTACTAACGTAAGCCACAAAGACCTATATTGATCTTGCGTTTCGTTGCTCAGATTGAGACTTAAAAATATCGTCAAGCTGTAGTTACATTGCTACAATTGTGAGAGATAGTACTAAGCACCTCAAAGTCGCAACAGATCCATTGTTCTTCAAGCAAGGGTACTCTGACGACAGGGTCGCTTCGGTCAAGTTATCGCAGCCCATGGTTAAGGAATAACGTAATATTGTCTCCATCATTGTTCTTAACATCCAACGTGCATATATGACCCTTATAAGCCTCGAAAATATTCCATTACATATTGCAGCCCGTTCTTGTCCACTCTTCGTCGCGTTATTTAGTTGAAACGAATGTCTCCAATGGTCGGACCAGAGATCAGTACTCCGCATATGACAGACTTTAGCTCAGGCGGAATGCATTTTAAGGCCGATTACAGCAGTTCGACTGTCGATGTCATTGCCCTTGTAGCTTGATATCATAAGTATCTACACAGCAAGAATCGCAAGTGATGGTATAACATACCTCAGAGTCGCAACTGACCCAGTCTCAAATTGGATATCTATAGGCGCATCAACCGGGAGATGTGCCCAGACTTTCCAAAGACATCGAAGGAAAGTACCATGCCCGACCTATTTTCTCATGTTAGCCTGCTAATTTACAGACGGCCAGAGATAACATTTCATAAACTATTGAAAACGCGAATGTTGCTTAGGGGTAGCAAAAACACACAATCATGACATTTCCACCATTCTCATCATTCATGTAGTCCTTTTGAATGTCTCGAATAGAGGAAATTACATCCTTGGCGCGCCGTGCGATGTCTTGTACTGATCTGTGAAACAAAAGCAAGAGTTAGCGATGCTTAAATAGAAGGGTGCAATCATACTCTCCACCCTCACATCCGCCAGCCCAGATTGACCACTCGGACGATGGATCAAGTCCTTTCTCTGCCCTCGAATTCCTAATCTGCTGCGTCGTCATTCCCTCGTAATCTCCATGGTCCCACTCCCTGAGATCTTCCGAGAAAGTAGCTCTTTGCCTCACTTCTGGGTGCTCTTCGGTGACGAGTTCAAAAGTTCTTCTGGCTCGGATTCTTGGGCTCACAAAAACGTGCACGAGGTGTGATGGGTCGATTAGTTTGTTAGGACCGACAAAGCTATCTCCAAGAGCAATTGCCTCCTTCTTCCCAGCCTCTGTGAGCTCTATATCTGTTTTGCCAGTATACTTTCCGATCTTCGACCATTCTGTCTGTCCTGGTTTCGACACAGACTCATTAGCAACTAGAATCGATAACGTTACGCGCTTAGATATCCAGCTTACCGTGTCTTATGAGAAAAACTGAGGGCGCCATTGTGGTTTATCTTGGTAGCGAATAGTTCTTGGTAGCGGCGAAACTATTCGCACGGTATGTACGTGGGGATAACGACGTGTGATTAATGAGGGGTTGGGTGTGACTAGTGGGCGGTAATAGGTGGCAAATCGCCCAGAAGACAGCGCAGTTAGTCAGGCAACGGCCGCTCTCCTCACTCCTTGACGAATGAGCAAATCCAGGATGTCACCTTCTACTAATCACACAAGCTAATTACCTTCCTCTGTTGCGCCCCTCGTATTGATATCTGCAAGTAGTCTTGATATGATCCCAGACTCATACCGTCAAGAGAGTTCCAATGTCGAAACGCAACCACCACCTATATTCTAAGTGTGCCACGAAAGTCTACTGTACCTTCAGCGTCGCCAGTTTTACGTACTTCCTTTTGTTCACAAAGTGATTTGTATTCGGTAACGCTCTTCATATTCTTATACATAATAACGATCTCATTGCGACTAACAACCATTCGGAAACGCCCTGTAAGCTAATAAATGAGCTTTAAAAGGAGCGCGACGCTTCCACGGAAATTCAAGGAATGTATCAAGGAAAGAAACAAGGCAAACGATGAGACAAAGAAGATAACAGGAGCAACATGAGGGATCAAGAAGCCAACCCTATTTACAGGTACAGCGGCGACGGCCGAAAAGCGACCGGCGTCCATACCCATGCAGAGAACAGTTGTGGTCGAAAGGCCTTGCAGTGGTTGAAGGCTGAGAGGCAAGGTTAGTCTCGAGCTGCTCAATCTTGACAGTCATAGCATTCATCTTGTCAAGAAGTCCGCTGTTTTTGTCCTCTCCAGCGGACATCTTTCTGCCATGCCCACTGTATGTTGAACTGAATACTATTAGATCGCCTGTCTTCTCATTTCGAGGCGATACATACCCGGCGGTGGTGTAAGAAGCGGTACTGCCCTTCCAGCTTGATGGGCTGGAGTGAGGAGATGCATCGCTCTCATCGTCGTCGATGTTCTGATTGAAGGAACATCTTCGTGAAGAGCAATTGTACCACGCACTTGGCACAGGTCCATTGCCTTCGTTTCGTCGGCTGCGATGACCGCATCGGCATCGAGGGTTGGTAGAGGAAATGCCCACCATGTCATCCCAGGTGATGAACTGACGCTTGTGGTCGGCTTGACAGTAGTAGTAGGGACGACCAGCGGTAGCGCTGCGCTTCGCAGGATCAACTCTGCTGCGTTTAGGCGTGTTGGGGCAAAGAGGGCAGTCTGGGGGTTGACTGAGAGGGAATTGGTGAGTGTGCTGGGAAGGGTAGTATGCTTCCATTGTATTGTATGGATTTAGTTTTGAGAAGGGCTGAATGATTGTAGATTGGGAGGCAGAATGTATTTTGATTCAAGTTTGAAGAGGGCGTGATGGCTCTGTTAAGTATTCAGGAAGAGGGTGCTTGCTGTCGATACTGGACGTGGCAATAGGCATAATTCGGGTCTGCAGCGGTCATTAACCATCCTTTTTTTGACTGTCGAAGCAGCACCCTTTCAGGTGGTCGCCTTGGCAGGCCGCGAGGCTGATTTCATCTATCATATCATGAAGAAGCGCATGGGACACGCATATCGCAGTTAGCAGACGTGCGCGTCTCATTCTCTGCCATACAGCGCCATCGGATCGAAAGTCTTCGAAAGTATTTTCAGAAACTATCTATTGTTGACTTGATTCCCGAGCGCAAATCGATTTTCTAGTTCTTCTCGCCTGCTATAACTTCAACTTGTCAAATGTCAAGTCTACATCTTGGCTCTCATCTTCAACTCGCTACTGCTGGCTTCGCCTCGTCGAGCACCCACGCCAAGTGTCTCAGGTTTACCGAAGACAGTCACACCGCGTCGCCACTTTCCAAGCCTCGAAAGAAATCCTCAATCCCGATTTGAGGATCTTGTTGCCTCAACTGAAGGTGGGATCAAACTGCAGCCATCGGCAATTACATCATCCACTGAGAGGCTCGTCAGAACCGCCAAACGAAACTCAACTGATATGTTTTCGTTTTCAATCACGAATCCTTATTTTCAGCTTTCGTTGCGGCTGAATATCTGTCTGCATATGTGTTACTCGCTATGAGTCCGGCGGCAAACGGTTGGCTCTCACTTGTTGACCAAAGCTCAGCTGATGAAGTTGACCAATTGACAGTATCTTCATGACTCTGTTGGCCGCGACCGATGAATCGAGCGTTTAGAATCAGTAATAAGCTTAAAATACACGGCAGATGACGTTTTATTCAATTCAAGACGATGCTTCTCATTGGGTGACAAGTCTGTGGCTTAAACCCACATATGCGACCTGAAATTAGATATCAAATTTGCCACTACTTTGAATGCCCGAAAGGTAATTTTCCCTGTGTCGCCAAAGGTTACTCCCTCTGGCGACATTCAACCTTTTTGTATCATTCATCTCCTCCCTTCACCCCGCTTATGTCTTCGTGCTACGTCGTTAGAACTTAGTGCTGGCTTTCACCAAAAGCCCCATCGAATTGGCAAGTATTAACAAAAGCCTTTCCATTTCTTGACTACCATGATTGATACACTGTTGTCTAACCTAATGTTTCAATAGTTGACTCTGTTTGACTATCATTACTGCACTTTTCTCCCGGGTGGCTGCTACAGAGCCGGCCAAGGGACCACGGGTAGAGGTCGGAGACTTTTGACATAGTAGTGCATTCCACTCAAATTCCGCCCATCCGAGATTTGACAACAGCATCAGGATCAGTTAAGTGCAAGAGGGAGTGGTCTGAGCCGTAACAAGTGATCTTGTAAAATAGCGCAATACCAACGCATAGACCCATGTGATAAGGGCTCTTTAGCATCGACAAAAGTTCATGAGTTATACCCAGTTGCAATAAATGGGTTGCTGCACATCATTGCCGTGTTTGTAGGGGACAGTTATTGCGAAGCAGTTGCACGGCATCTTTATGCCGAATTTAGCGCCGATCGCGACTGATAACAGAATAGCATTGATATTCATGCATGGCACTGTCGTGTCAAGATCAGAGATCATCAGGGTCTGTTCATCCTCAAAACCTAAGTTAAATGCCTAATTATCCTCTTTACCACTGTAGATGATCTTTACAAGTGTTGAAGTTCTATATATAACGTAATTACTTCCTACGTTGTAGCTGTCGGAGATTGAACCCCTGTCATTTTATACGGCACATCACGCCAACTCCCGCAGACCAGCTGTAAGAGATGCCGCTTTACATCCGGGCTCGGCGCACTTACCAGATCAAGCTTGATTACAATCAGGTCCTAGACGCAACTCACCCCCAATCATCTCACACGAAGCCGCGGACATGCCCACATTCGGAAACCAGGCTGCATCAGTGATAGCGGTATTATAAAAGGTCCCTTTCAGATAGGCAAGTGGTATAAACCCCGATAGACATGACTGCCGGGGCTAATGGTGAAATGTCCAGAAAAGGGAGGAGGTTTTGCGGAACTGCAGCTATAGAGATGTGATAGAATATTCCGCACTCACGATACACATTAGTAGTTGTGGACTTTGCAGCTGATTATACGGAAGTACGGCATCGAGGATATCTGAAGTTATGGACCTACGCTTTGAGGAATAGTCGATTTGGATTAATGGGATAGATAGTAGAGCACATAGGAAGTACTATACACGCAGAATCTATATAAGTCTAAGGAAATGCCAAGAGAAAAGAATATTCAGAAGCATCAGAAACAATCAAGCTCATCTCATCTCTTCAAGTCCAACACTTTCAACTCAACCTTCATCATGAAGTTCACTCTCTTCCTCGCTGCCGCCAGCCTTGCCCTCGCTGCTCCTGGCACCAAGCTCACTCCCCGTGACACTTCCCCCGTCGTCCCTCGCTCTGCCCGCCGAGCCAAGTACAGCTCTCACCCCAACCAGAGACTGGTCTCTCTCTCTGACGCTCGCACCAAGAATGACCAGTACTCTGGCAACTGGGCTGGCGCTGTCCAGATCGGCAGCGGCTACAACAAAGTCCAGGGCACGATCACCGTTCCTGAGGTCAGCGGTGCCGATGGCGCTGCTGCTTCCGCTTGGGTTGGTATTGATGGAGATACCTGCCAGACTGCCATCCTTCAGACTGGTATCTCCTTCTATGCCGATGGATCTTTCGATGCTTGGTATGAGTGGATTCCCGACTATGCCTACAGCTTCAACAACTTTGACGTCTCTGTCGGCGACCAGATCCGCATGACCGTTGATGCTTCTTCCAAGACCAAGGGTGTCGCTACTCTTGAGAACTTGACCACCAACCAGAAGGTCACTCATAGCTTCACTAACACTCCTTCTACTCTCTGCGAGACCAACGCTGAGTGGATTGTTGAGGCTTTCCAGGAGGGTGGTAGCCAGGTTGACCTTGCCGACTTTGGCACTGTTACTTTCACCAACGCTGTTGTCTCTGGAACCAGGGGTACTTCTGGTCCTTCTGGTGCTCAGATCATTGACATCTCTCCTGATCAGGGCCAGACTGTCCAGGCTGTTGGTTCTATCACCAGCAACTCTGTTACTGTCAAGTATGTCGGTAACTAGAGAGCTCAAAGGGCTCTAGCTTGACTGTTGACTGGATATGACTTGGAATAGTTGCATGAGATAAGATGAGGAGAGTTTGGTACATATTATGGAAGTGAAAGAGACGAGAGGTTGTTTTGAGTCGGTACTTCAAAGTATATATAAATTGAAAGTTGTACATGTCTGAATATGACCTGATCCCTTCGCTGTATGCTAAAGTGAGATTCCATGGATACCCGCAATAATAAGTATGTAATTGAAACCACTAGATAAGTTCTTATTCGACAGCTATCAGAGCCATGAGAAGAAGCCAGAGCCACACTGCATGCAGTACAACGAAGAAAGCAGTACGTTCATATCCTATGTAGACTCTACTCCGAGTGCACATGTCATTGTTAGCTCTATTCCTCATGGACCCAGCACTCTTATCTAGATACCTGCGATGAACCTCAATTATACTTAACTGTTCAGGCGTTTGTACCGGCTCAGAGTTGTATGTCAAGCTTCCTACGGTATCACCCTGACTGACCCAGGCGGTGTCTACAAGTGCATTGTTGGCGACGCTAAGCTCGTTTGATTCGTGATATGCTATTATACGTCAGTATTTGCTGAAGAGAGAGTACCAAGTCATACCTTTCGGTGGAGGCTCATACTGGCCGTCACTGCTGCTTGGAAACCATGCAAGAATGGCCTTAGCAACAGATGCAGCCGTAGCAGCAGCAAAGTTCTGCCATATCTTATTCTTGTGGCTATCTGCATAGTCACATATGCCCTTGACAACAATACAGGGAAACTCTTCCCCTATTCCAGCGCCCTCCATCTCAAATGCAACAACGTTATATTTAGCGGCGATTCGATCACGGTCTAAGCCACTTTTCATAACAGTATTGCCCGAACCTAGTCGACCGATGAAAATCTCAGGGGCGAAGTCAGCACCTTTGGGGAGATCCTCTCTATGCTCTCTTGGGATCAATTTATCCGGCTCGCATCCAATCTCAGCACATGAAGATTGGAAAGCTGATCTGCAAAAGAAGTCGGGGTTTTCAGCACATGCACGGCATAAGTCTTTATGTTTGTGCGAATATTCGGGCGGGTAAATAGCGTCGTTCTTTGCCCCGGGATAATGATATTCGGCTCGACGCATTCGTTCCTTTGCCTCCTGCTGTAGTTCCTTCAGATGGATTGCAGCCGCCATTTTCAATCGTTTCTCCATGAACTCTGTATCCAGTGCTGCCAGCAATGGTCGTACATCTGCGTTAGGTCTTCCAGTGCCATCGTCAAACATGTTATCATATCCGACAATCTGCTTGCTCACTACTACGTCTCCCAGATATGCATCTTTGTCGCCTATGCGTGGCAAGCCACCGCAGATGCCAACAAGGAGAATCAGTTGCAGACCAGTGTAGCTTGCCCTCAAGTTGACTGCTGCGTAAGTCGCGCTATTTGTACCCATTCCGGACATGATCGTCAAGACGACATTGTGTTTTCCGATGCGTCCAGTGATATAGAAATTCGTGTCTGACTTCACTCGGCCATATGGATCACCCGCCTCATCCCAAAATTCGTCAAAAAGTAACAACACTGCATCCGCTTCACGAGATAGAGCGCACATGATTGCTACTCTGAATTCATCGCGGTGCTTAGGAGGTTGTATTGAAATCATACTGCTGGTGATGATATGCTGTGACTTAACTTGATTGCTGCAGAAAAAGACCTCACGGAGAAATTATGAGGGGTGTTGAACTGATCCGGGTTTATCACGTGTACTTCTAAGATATCCATCTGGTCGTAGCTCTATCATTGGACTGAAAGTAGTTTTGTTGCGCCGTGAAATGACACAAAATAGACATCAGACCAATGATGGACGCAGGGACAAGCCCTGACTGGATAACCTAAGCGCCGTCCCATAAGCACGGCCCGTGCTGCAGTCGTCGGCGTCTAGCAACGTCAAGTGTCATAATTGTACGCAATGGAAGGTTTATTCGCTTGAAGCATTATAGTGAAGGAGGAAAGGTCAAGAAGAAGTATGTATATTAATGCTAATATGATTCTCCCGAAGTAGAGTGTGCACTGTTGGGATATACAGCATTGTAAATCACAATCCGTGGTGTCTAAAGCATTAGTCGAAACGTCGCTCAGGTCTAATTTGTGTAAAGTAATGCAGGATATATAGAAACTCAGAAACAATTAGTTAAGAAATGTCATTTGGCATCTATCGCTGGCGTACTGACATGACAAAGATAACCAACGCACATCTCATAGTTCAAGCCTCAGGGCACCAAATTAACATTGTATGCACGTGCGTTTGACTGCGTTTCTTAACAGATCCTAGATAGACTATGCTGAGACTCTCTATGACTGCCAGGCTGGTCCGTCTTATCATCGATGCATCTGATATTGTGCCTGATAGTGGCATATTACTTGACGGAACGAAGCAATTGAAAGCCCGTCCCCATTAAGCTTAGGGTAAGCTGACAGAGGTTGCACCCGTCTAGTCTAAGCCTAGCGGCTGTGTCATCATCACCCAATCAGACCAGTTGAAACTGAATGCTGTGCCATAGAGGGCTGATTCCAGTTGATCGTAAGGCTGTATCAATTGACGACAAAATAATCTCGCACCTCCTCACCCTTGCATCTCATTTATGTCACAGTCAACATGCGACTCATCAATACCGCGACACTCGAGGTCGAAGAATTCTTTGATGTATCCATTCCGGAATATGCTATATTATCACATACATGTGGCGACGGTGAAGTCTCACTGCAAGACTGGGCCGATCGCAAGAACCGTCGCTTCAAGCCCGGGTTCCAGAAGATCGTCTGGGCCTGTACTCAAGCTGACAAAGACCAGCTAAGTCACGTATGGGTGGATACCAACTGCATCGACAAGAGCAGCTCTGCAGAGTTATCTGAGGCTATTAATTCCATGTTTAGATGGTATCGACGATCTGCTGTCTGTTATGTATACTTGGAGGATGTCCCTGCCGTGACCTTGGACGAATGCACCAAGCCGGATAGTGCATTTAGGAATGCAAGATGGTTCACAAGAGGCTGGACTCTCCAGGAACTGATCGCACCGCCAAATGTCAGTTTCTTCTCCAGCAACTGGACCATGATAGCCACAAAGTCCGAGTTGGCACCTTGCATCACTGAGATCACAGGAATTCCTTGGTCATGTCTACTCAAGGGCAGGCTGTCCAAAGCACATCCACTACGGAGATACAGTGTTGCACAGAGAATGGGTTGGGCTTCCCGTCGTTCCACGACACGTATTGAGGATCAGGCCTACTCTCTCCTCGGACTGTTCGACATCTCCATGCCGCTTGTATATGGAGAAGGGTTTGAAGCTTTCACAAGACTACTTGGAGAAATCATCCATAAATACGCAGATCATAGCTTCTTTGCGTCCCGACTGCAATATGTCGATTTTCTCCCTCGTTCGCCTTGGGAGTTCTCCGACTCTCAGTCTGTGGTTGTTAGTAGCTCGCCGCAGCTGCAGAGGCATTACACACCAGGGGATCACTCGTACTCGTTTCATCTGACCAACACCGGACTGCAGATCACTCTGCCCATTGTGCCTACCTTGGTTCCTAATTTTGTATTTGGCGTGCTTGATTGCTGGGACATTGAGACCACGAGTACGAGGACAACGCGACATGTATCACGGATATGGATACCACTCCTTAGGAAGGGAACTGGCGAGTCGCAGCGGTATCTACGATTGATCTGGCCTCAAACATTTTTCCCGGTGAAGATGGCTCGGAAGGACAGCATAATGTTTCACGAAGAGGAACTTCTCCCCAGAGACGATCATGCATCAGATGATTCAGACGAACCGTCCGATCACATGGATACAGTGTCGACAGCGATGCAAAGAAGTATTTTGGTAAAGAAGCCATTTGCGACTATCCTCTCAGTCCCTACATGGAAGCCGCGTGAAGCAGGGAGTCCATTTCTCCTCTGCTTTCCCCGAGGAACAGCAGATTATCGCCTATACGGCATTTTCCCCGGCGTCGAGTCTGATACCGCGTGGGCATTGGAGACACCGCCTGTACTGCCACTGATAATGCCACGCCGTATTCACAGAAGCATCCACCAGGCGCCCGATGTTGACCTGTTTGGAAGAGTCGAAACGGACATTTACGCTGCAGTGGTTGTGTTCAAGAAGAAAAGATCAAAACCACCAAGATTCGTTGCTATCTTCCTGTCCAATATTGCGCAGCGGGATAAAGCAAGGATGGTTTTCGAGCCTAGAGGCAAGGTGATCCCGAACTGGTCACCAACTGAAGACGCGGATTTGGAAGCCGTTGATTTCTCTACCTTTCCCGATGCTGACTTTGATGCCAACACATTGGTTACGGTACAGAAGATAGCTAGTAACCCCAGAACAATAGCTGCAGGTCGCGAGCTTCGTTTTATAGGACTCACTCAGATTATCTTTGACAGAGAAAAAATGATGGAAGAGTTACGATTACAACAAGATAGTAACAAGACATCACGGGGAATTCTGCAGCATTATGGTCGAGATTCGTCAGACGAAGGTGCTGACAATTGATCCGGTGCTCCATATTTGTATGCGAGTTAATGAACAATATTATGTGTTATGTACAGTTGAAGTATAAGTGAATGTGATATATATCCCCATCTAACACCGACATATTTAGCAGATTTTCTGGTAGTCGCCAATCAACGGGCAGACTGTGACAGTCTTGCAGACCGGGTTGGGGTAGCCTGGGTAATAGCCGGGGCAGAACTCGGCTGTGAAGCGGGTGTCCATGTACTCCGACCAAGTGGCAGCGGGGAAGCACTACAAAGGGTCTTATTAGCACTTGTTTCAGTAGAACGATCAAGCTGTCATATCAAGTCCCTCATGTGGATAGAAATGATAGAGCTTGAAGGAAACACGCCTGGTGCGCTCTGAGTCGTAGTGGACTCGGGTGAAGGGTAACTCACATAATCCTGTCCATCGACGTTGACATTGCTGCCGGCGATGTATGGACAGTAGCCGTCGATTTTTGTTTGGCCAGCGGCGTTGGCACAAGCGCAAGCTTTAACCTGTCTTCCAGCCTTGGCTGCTGGTGCGGCAAAGGCAGCCGGAAGAGCGAGAAGGATGGTAAAGAAGGTCTTCATTCTGAGGGATGATGCTGCGAACAATAACAATACAAACAAACTTCTGTGCTGGCAACCAGTGAATAATGGTTTGTACAAACGGCATGACTACTATTTTATACTGTTGTGGATGACTACTTGGCAGGTTTGGACGTTGCATCCGAATGCTCATTGTAAGCATTACAAACATACGTCCATACTGATTTAGAGATTCATCCGAGACTACGTTGATTAAGCATTGCCTGATAACATGACAGGTTCCTTGCATAGGAACCTCCTCGCGTTGCACTGCACCTCATATCTAGCAAGAATAGTCCGCGGAGTATAAAGTCCGTTTCCGGACTTTACACACGCGTTCCCTGACATAAACAACCAAGTAGGTAGGTCATTGCCACCGGCCCGTCGTTGACACCAACCGCACCAATCGTCACTCGCGGAGTACTCCTTAATGGTTGCTGGATATAGGACGACGCGGGGTTATGCATACTTATCCTGGGCAGCCTCGGCCTGATGCTACGCTGGAGTCGTAACACAAATTGGCTGAAAAGAGTAGGTAGGATTCATGGATGGCCTAAAATGGATTTTCTCTCTATGTGGGGGATATGAATCGTCGATTTTCTATGCGCGGCCGTATAGTCAGTCAGGAATATCGACTAGTATATGGCTACATGATCTGATTATCGAAGTAGGAGACTTGGAACCAATGGAGCTACTCATGACTTTGTCAAAGGCTATCTAACATGTTGCCTTGATGGCCGCACCAACTCCTTCACCTCAACCCTGGGCTGTTCTTTTAGGTCTTTTCCAAGAGCCTCCTCTGCCGTCCTTGTCTTCAGAAAACCAAGGTTACCCAATGGCTGTCCACTTGCGACAAGCAAAATCATTGACAAAGCTGAGCATAGAAAACACAAAGCTTCCCACGCCTAATCCCTGCGACAGTTAGAAGATGACGGAGTATCGCGAGGCAAAAACCTGACCTATAATCTACTGTCCAATCATGACGAGTATGGCTACCATAGTACGGCGTTTGTTCTTGGCATCGAAGAGCTCAGACCATTGACCCTTGCGATCCTTAGAAGTAGACATGCCAAGTATCTTGAATCTCGAATCCGATGTCTTCTTCGGACTTGTCCTTTCGGATTCTGCGAAGGTACTTGGTAGCTTCGTCTACGCAATCTTTAACCAAGAGCCTACTATGGTTAATGCTGCATATAGTCTTCAATGGAGAGCACGCGAACCAGCGGGTCAGCGACCCAGAACAATGTAGCGAGTAGGAAGGCCGGTACGAGTAATTGCAAGGCCACTGGAATGTGCCATGCAGCGGGTCTTCATCGAACTAGTGCCGCAGGTAACAAGCGACGCCACTAGAGAGCCAAGAAGAATCATGAGCTGAAGGTTATCAGGCCCCATGGGGCCTCTGGGGCGATCTCTGCTTGGTAGATGGGCACGACAACGATGATCATGCCTGTCATGGCGAAGGAGATGAAGCGTCCGATGGTGGAGCTGAACAGCTGTGGTTGCGGTCGTTTGAAGAACACCATTTTCAATGGTTAGCAGGAGAATAACTGGGGTAAGGAGGAAGTACTTACGCAAAGTGGCAATAACCAGGCCCATAATGGCATCGTTTGGCGATCACACTGCAGATTACCGTACCAAGGCCTTCCCAATGAATGGCACAACTCGCTTTCAGATAAGGGAAAGTACGCTAAGATAAGCAGGGTCCGGGTGATCTGGGCCGATGATTCCCCGACATTGAGCATCTCGTTTAGGAGTCAGTTGAACGAGCATTGTGCGCCGTTAGCGTCCCAGCCTGCGGGGTCAAGACTAGGGTAGGACAACAGTAGGCCACGAACCCAAGCTCGAGGAGGCAATCTAATTTATATAGACTGTTAATTGTGTAATGATCTTTGATATATTTCTCTATTTATATGCTGTATAGTGGAACTAAACACTATAAAAGACACGAAAGCGAGTAAAAGTCTTGCTAATTCCGAAAAATCTGCCGGATCATCCTTTGCTATTTGTTTCATGAACCGAGCCCATTCTATCTGATGTTGAGCCTGAATCTAATAATTACTTGAACATAACGTTTCGCTCGCCTTACTACTTGCTCTTTATCTGGCCGACAAGATGTGATAATTGCAGACTCACAGCTTCTGGTAGCTCGACAATGGAGAAGTGAGATTCTCCATCAAACCTGGCGAAACTGAACCAATCAGCGTGTTTCCGAGCAAACTCCTCATGTTCTGCAAGATAAGGCCCCTCTCTGGGATGGCTGAAGACATGTCGAACTAAAGGAGGGTCTTCAATAGCCCCAAGCCGCTCTATCGGCGAGCCCCAGCGCTCATAATTCTTTTCCACCAGCCAGCAGAAATAAGCCCAGTTCTCAAATCCGTCGGTGTCTAGGTCATTTTCACAATAATCTAGAACATTCTTGTTGGAGGTGTTGTTGAGCCATTTCTTGATGAGGGGCTCTTGACCCTGCTGCCAAGTCTCCTTGTTTTGTATCATCTGCAGGTTCTTAATGAATTCTGCAGGGGGCCGAGTGAGGATGAAATCGGTCAACAGCACAGCCGGGACTCTTTGCTTCCCCAAACGCGCAGCCATCTCCATAGCGCACCAGCCTCCTTGGAAGTGAGAGATGGGGATGAATTTCTGGACCTGGAGGGAGTCTAGAAGCGCGATCGTATCGTTGGCTTGGTCCTCCACGCTCCATCTTCCTGTGGATTCGCTGTTGGCGCCGTGTCGCCTCCATAGAATTCTGATGACGCGGTACTTGCTCACCAAGAAGGGGAGGATGTGTTGATAGCCGCGGTGGTCCTGACCCAAGCCTGGTAAACAGACTATTGTTGGATCAGATGTGACCATGCCGCGGTCCTCGAAGGATAGTTCGACGCCATTTATGGTCCGGGTATAAAGCATCGCTATCTTGGGTATCTGAAGAGCGGTAAGAATATGATAAGTTGTGAAAATGTTGGTGTTTAGATCGTTTCTCTGAGGGTATGTTGAATTCTAGAGGCTGACGCATACGACATAACCAATAGGGCGAGGGCCGAAAAGCTCCAGTTAATGTTTCGGTTAATGAGACTCTAAGCTACTGCCAATCTAGCACGATGTTACCAAGTGCCCCTACCTGCTGCACTTCGCTCAAAATCTCCCTTTTCAAAACATCGCCGCATTGCAGTCCCGGCTAAGGTCTCAGCCGTTGCGGGTAAATTCCGACAAAATGTGGGTTCTTCCCGCGGGAAGGTAAGGGCTCTGGTGTCTCTTGGATGTCATTGGTCGATGTTCCATGTTTTGTTGAGTTTTGACGGTATGTAATGGCTTTGTCATTCCCCACAAAAGTGTCAGCTAAAGTAGTCGGAGTTTAACCACAGGTCCACAGCCATGAGACGGCGTTTTAGGCGAGACGGACATTGACTTCAGCCTCATGTATCTGGCGGAAGGGAACCTTTATACAAAGCCAAGATGTCGTCTGCTTTTCCATGCGCTGCGATATCGAGGGCAGTTTGACCTTGCATATCTTCTGCCATGAGATCCAATCCTTGACTCACCAAGAACTGAAATCTTGCTACCCTTCTAAAAGGCCGTTCTTGGCCAGCAACGACATGAAGCAGGGACTCTCCTTTGACATTGATAACCGACCATTCAACTCCCATCGTATCAAAGAATGCCCAGATCTTCGGCTCAGTCCCCTCCACAATCTGCTCTTCTATGTCCTTATTGACCTTCCATCTATCACCGCCCCATTTCTTAGACAAGTTATGCCTCTCTTCATCCATCTTCGCCCAGGTGGTATCAACGTTGAAACGGCTCGAACGGAAGTAGGCGAATACAGATGTTTCCCCAGCTTCGTTCTGGGCATTGATGTCTGCTCCTTTCGAGAGCAGTAAGTCAATCGTATTCTTGACGAAGCCCTGCCAGATTGCATCACCATAATGGTCTGCAACGAGAAGAAATGGTCTTCTGAAGAGTATGTGAAGCGGTGTATCGCCATTGGCATCTCTGGCTGTGACTTCGGCACCCGCAGAGATCAAAAGCTTAACCTCATCCCCTGGGTTTCCTGGCTTTTGGTAATCTATCGCATATTGAAGTGGGGTTCTACCATGCTTGTCGAACTGATACTGGAGCTCTGGTTCTAAACCAATTATATGCTGAATGAGGTCGATTCCACAATCATCGGCAGATACAAGATGCAGGATATTCCTACCAGAATCGTCCCTGCAACGAAGATCGGCGCCTCTGTCTATCAGTATTCGTGCAGCTTCTGCATCCCCCACTTCGAAAGCAATTTGTAGCAATGGAATGCCCTCCCCATCTTGAAGATTAACATCGAGCAGTGGGTGCCGAAGGATCAAGTCGAGGTACGCATTCCGCTTGTTGTATGAAATATTGGGGTCTGAGTCTCTTCTTTCCAAAACTCGATGAGCAACTGTAGTCTGACGGTAGCGAGAATTTGGATCAGCGCCGTGTCTGAGTAGTAGCTCAACGATACGTCGGCAATCTGGGCGGCTCGTCATTGCAAGATCAAGAGGATACAGCTCATGGCACGAACTGGGGTCTTGCCTATCCGGCTTTATATGTCGCCCATCCACTGAGCGCCAGGCTGGTGTTTCTTTTCCGATTCTTCGAGCGTTTGGATCAGCACCAGAGGATAGCATTAACTTTACAGCGTCGACATCTCGTGCCAGGATTGCATTGGTGAGGCATGATTGATCAATGACAACCATATCGTCTATCGGCTTGTCCAACGTGTCTAAAGACATCATACGGTATTTATCGATAATGCATGAATCTATTGAACGCCAATTGAGGAACTGTGACATATTTGAAGCTTGCCATGACTGGCCTAATCTTATTCACACCTACCAAATTGGGTCATGGTCAATCTGACTACAGTGGTCGGACCATCTCACTAGGCAGGCAGAAGCCCACTAAAGAGATCATTTGCATGTGAACATTTTCAAAAGTTGTCATTTCGTACGAGGAGTGACAAACTTTACATAATGTCGGTTATAAAATCCCCATGAGGCTTCCTTTGAGCCACCATTAAGATGGTCAACCGTCTAGATACCTCGATATCTCACGAGCACTCTGCTCCGGACTGACGTCTTTCGTGTAGATAATATGCTTTGCCAACGTCTTGTTACTTGGGTGATTCAGGAAGTGTCGATTGTAGCTCAACTCATGGCCTCTCCGCTCCTCCATGATCCTCAAAGCCTCATCCACGTTTTCGCACGGAACAACGAGGAAGACCCCTTTATATGGGGAAATCAGCTCCGCAACACGATCCAGCTCCTCCTTGTTCTCAAAAATGGAATGACCCGCCCCAAAATCGAGTATCTTGCCGTAAAACCTATCTCCAGGCTTTAACGCATTTTGCAAGATGTCCACGACAGCTCTGTATTCAAAGTATTTCCAGTACTTCAGCAGAGCCTCGACACCATCTTGTTCGTATATTTTATCGGCATGGGCGTCATCGTAGTCGAACGGTGCATATAGCTCTTTGCGGTGTCGATCGAGGCTGAATACTTCTTTGTTGAGTTTCTCTGACAGGATTTTTCCGATAGTTGTTTTTCCAGCGCCTTCAGGACCGATTAGAATGATTGTGGGGGAAGGGATGTCCGGCATGGCTTCGTGGTCAAAAATTAATCGAAGAATACGTCTTGCGCAACTTCAAAAACTTGATAATATCCAATCGCACACTTGCTTTTGGAGATGCAAAGAATAAAGAGTCCATCGTGACGTGTCTCGGGTAAGACGGCTATAACCAGCAAGAGTGATTCTGTCGGGAAATCTACGGGTTAGATCCGATTGACTGTGCGTATCTCAGCATGAGTTTCCTTATCTGCTGAACTGCATAAAGGTCCCAATATAAATTGGCCTTATCTCAACAAATTCAACTTTACCGGATTAAGGTCTCTTAAACCTCGTTTATCTGCTTACTTCGGTGCAAATTAGCTGGTTATTACATATTTATCTTCCGACTAAAATTGATGTGGTGCTCTTCCCAAAGACTAATTCACGGCTTCCATTATCGGTTCGGTTCGGTTCGATCGGTTCGCATGAACTCCATAGCATGCATGGTTATAGCTTTAGATGGTACGCTTTTGGAAGCCCTGCCTGATCAAGATATTCATACACTAAAAGCTGTTATAGTTCATCATACTAAGTAGACGGGTAAATCAGACTCGACCCTTGTATACACCGGTAGCACCTCGCCAAGGTTCTCAAAAACATTATCAAAAGTATTATCTTGGCACTCTGTCATGATGACCGGTCGACGAATTCTTATAATCCGAGAACTGTTGGAGGCTGCAGTATCAGCGGTCTTATCAAATGTCATTGTTACTACTGACAACGAAACCTCCAGGACAAAGTCGTGCGAAATCCTGAGGGTGCTGTTCGAGGCTTCTTCGCACGCGCATGACTTATGGCGTTTTGCAATCATCTTTGCGATCGGGCCATACTCGAAACTTATTGTTGAGGTCGTCTCCTGATCACTCTGGAAGACCTTCCATTCGTTACGAGGCCGTCCCTTTGCTATTGTGTGAGAGACGCTTTGCCTTTGCCTGCTAGACTCGCTCTCATCTTGGTCCGCGTGTCGCTCACAA